TCAGCTTTCTAGCTTTTCTGGTTTCCAAGTTAGCGATTTTCCCGCCAAAACTTTGAGGCGCTCGTACGCGGAGCCTAGACGTGCGTGAGGACTGGTACCGCGGTCCTGGGATGGCACTTAGCCGGGGAAACTGCTCGCAAAATTTTGGCGCCGGAGCTTGCTTAGGTTCCGAGTTGAAATACCCGGACAGACGCACACATACACACACGCACACGCACACACACGCACACTGGGGTCGTCGCAACATGCGTTTTCGCACTTGCATATATGCAAAAACGCATAAAAAGCTGAAATTTTGAGGTTATCTCCCCTGTCCAAATATAGCTCAAAGATTTCAAATTCCGCATCCAGGTATATGTGGTTCTCGCGTACAGCTCCGTGAAATTTTTTGATAGGAAAATGGCTAACTCGAAAACTAGCAAAACTGGGAGACTGAAATTTTCAGGGGATGTTTCCAGCCTATGTGCAAATTAAAATTATCGAACTCAGCCCCTTGGCATGCGTGGTTCTCACGCACGGCCCCGTATAACTTTTTTGGTGGGAAAATGGCTAACTTGGATACCAGGAAATACGGGAGGCTGAAATTTTCAAGAAATGCTCCTAGCATAAGTACAACATAAACCTATCAAATTCAGCCCCTAGTCATACGTGGTTCTCGTGCACGGCTTCGTGAAATTTTTTTGAAATGGATAACTCGGGAACGAGAAAAGCTGGAAAGCTGAGATTTCAGGAGAATATTTCCCGTCTAAATACAACTTGAAGTTTTCAAATCCAGCCTTCAATTTACGCGTGATTCTCGTATGCAGGCACTTAAATTTCTGACAAATTACTCATTGAACAGCTGAGTCATTTTCAAATAAAAACGACCGCTAAACGGAAATTGTTTATTTTCTTTTATGCAAAATTTGCGACGATTTATGGTATTGAGCGCACAAGGCAGGTTTGAAGAAACAACCGTTCATACAGTTAACCTAATGCATGTTTGGTGCAAAAACGCATAATCGCACCGGTTCGCCTGATGCGTTCCAGCCTGGGATCAAGAGGCCGTCGATGCGTCTGTTTGTATGTTGTGTATTCGGATTTCTATTACCCAACTTCAAATCAACATCTGCAGAAGGTAGCAAGAAAGGATTTCGGGAAGGTATTCCTGGCTCACGTGCGACCTCGTCAACTTCAGACTCAGGTATCTACGCGTCAGGCTTGCCTGTGCGATCATGCTTTTTTCATGACTCCGTCTTCATTCACCAGCCACGCGCAACTCAAATTCTTTAATTCAAGCTTCGTGCACACCCAGGTTTCGCATTCAGTGCGAGTAAAATTTCTTTTTTGGGAATTCTGGCACCTATTTAGAGGAGCAACCAAATTGTACAGGAAACCGCAACTTTATTATGTGCGAGCCTGAAAAAGCTTTTTTTGCTCATGATATGCTCCGTACACGGATGTGTCAAATATTCAAAATGCAACACTTCCATCATTCTTGCCTCTCGGCAATCAAATAAGCGAGAAAGAAAATTTTACGAGAATGCTTACACATATTGTGCGACACTAGGAATATAATATCATCTTTCTCAAACTCCTATGTCTCATCTGTGCACATGGAAAACATTAGGGTGCAGAAAACATCTGCAACATCTGTTTACAGTGACCACACATATTGGAAATTTAAATACCACTCGGCCTCTGAATAAAACACTACCTTCTCAGTCATTGTTCGAAGTCCTTCTCCCATCACATGCAGCAAATGACTGAAAACGCTGTCAGCATGAGCGCACATCAAAATTGTAAAGCAGCCATTCATACCGCCGACGGTCTGATTACTTCCGCATTTACGCAAAAATACATGACATGCGCCGGTAGTCCTAGTGTATGTGTTATTGTTTGTATTTGCACAAATTTGCAGAAACGCGTATATTTACTGTTAACGAATGCACATTCACGTGCATATGTGTTATTAAATGCACTAAATGCATGTATCCTCATATTTGAAATTTCGATGGTATGTATGTATATTGTTGAAACAAATTAGCATTATCATCTGATCTGTTAACCTGTGCTTCCGATGTTGCTTGATTTGTGAAGTGACAGGCACAGACGCGCGAGCACCCCATGTCTTGAGTCACTTGCCTCATATGACCCCGCCTTTGATTACGGGGCTGTTCAGGATTATTCCAGGTTGCACGTACCATTCGTAGACATGTGAAGTCGGGACCTCTCGGTGCAAAGGATGCACAGTATTTTAATCCTAGGAAATACCACGAACACTTTGGACACAAAGTTGAGGTCCCATATGAGTTATAATGTTAACACTTATCGGGTCCTAACAAGTGATGGAAATATTGCAGCGCTGGGAGATGTGTCGCCAGAATTATACATTCGCGCTTGTCAATGATTTGTTTATGGCGCATCCAGGTATCAAAACAGTTTATGACAAATCGCGCCTTGAACAGTTACAAGAACATTCGGCGAGCCAGTACTTCAGTGCAAAAAAACAGTTCCAACAACGCATGGATGAGCAATACCCGGAAACAAAGGAATTTTGCCCAGACTTTAACGCCTAATCTTGGCAGTATATCTTCTGAATGTATGAAGCGCCAAAAGCCATAGCTATCATCCATCGCAAATACAGAAAACACTATTTCCTCTGTAAATGCAGTTGGTTGCTACACACTTCCACGTACATTTGGCGTTTTTGCTTGACTTGCATGTTTTACAAAGGAATAGATCGCGGAGAAAATGAACGCAGTCCTTCTACTGTCTTAATCCGGCGTGGCTCCCACTCACTATTCGCTGTGTTGGCCTTTCCTCCGCATTTTGCCTCAGCATTCTACCAGAAAAAACGCTGCGATATGCGAAGACATAAACAAATTCTATTTTACCTTTTGTCATGTAAGGATGCATCTGGGATCCAGAATCTCAAAATTAATTAAATTCTTTCAAAAGCCGATTCTAGATAAATCTCACAATGAAATTTCTCAGCAGTGTATTTGCTTCAGTAGAATTTCTGGCGAATGAAACAAAAATCCGGCAATAGCGACACATTTATCCTCACATTTGATGAACTTAACAAATGACTGGACTAGAAGGAAACTGGAAGCTAGTGCTTATTTGGCTAATTGTTTATTTGGCTAGTTTCACTAGCGGGCATTGATAGATTTCGAATCACGAGCATCGAGAGGCTATGATTTTCATCTGAAAAGAACAACAAACTTGGAAAAATTGACGTGCCACAACATTAGTTTGCGACCGCTTCAGCTCAAGGAAATCCAGTGATTAATACCTTCTCTGTGTTAAACCTTTTTCATTAAGTCTCTATTTGATCTTAACAGCCAAAAGCCCTAGATGATTAGCGGGGGTAGCGAAACTATTAAATGAATCTTTGTTTCTGCTACCTAAAACAGCTTTGCTGCTCATAAGCAGCGATACGTGCTGGAAACTACTTTATTTTTTAATGAGTGAGTAACCAAAAAACACATTTCAATGATTTAAAGAAATATTTTCAACTCCCGAATCAGAAAACCTGTTTGAGCTGGGGTTTTTTTTCCAAAAAAAAAAA